TTGGCCAAGGTGTACTCATAAGTCGAAAAGGAGTTTTCGATTTATATTGACTTAATAGTGGAATGAAAGATATGATCAATGATCGAGATTGACACAATTCCATATCTCGTAATTGATCGGATCGTATTGACGAAGGGATAATAGTTTCACGGTAAACAAACGAATTTGGTTTTGTCATACCACGTGACATTTCCCGTCACATGTATTGCCCCGACACATTGCTAGATGTCAATCAGGGACGGCGAGTGTGAATTGACGATAAATTAAAAGGGTGTATTAATTTATCAATTTTCATTAGATTAAAATAATATTTCACGATGTTAGGCATCGTGGTCGGGAACCTAATGGGTCGCACACAAAAGAGAATTAAAAGATTGCAAATTGTCAATTGGTTAATTTAACAATCGTTGGATAAATTAATTAATTGAATTTGTTATTTATAATCCCGAATTAATTAATTGGATTAATTAATTCACGGACCGAGTTTAATTAATTGGATTAATTAAATATTGGACCGGACCGGACCGGGTCCGTTTGGGTTTATATATACACACAGCTAGGGTTTGAAGTCCAAATGGGGTTTTCATTATTCTTGCTGGCACAAGAGAGAAACCCTAGCAATTGCAGTCTATTCTCTGTGTGGATTTCATTGGAGGCTGGACAATTGGACAGCTGTGGGAGGCAGATTCAAGCTGTTGGAAAGGAATAACGCGAAGGAGTTTGCAAATCACAAGAAAAATGTATATTTCTTATCACAGTTTCTATCTAAATATAAAGCTGAATTCTGAATGGAAATTGAAACTTGTTAAATTTCGCTGTGCATGTTTAAGTAAATTCCCTACAATTAGAAGATGAAAAAAAAAAAAAAAAACTGAATCACATTTTGCCATGTCAGATTCGATAATAAATTTGTTAAAAAATTTCTGTACTTGAGTCTTTTTCGATTGGCAATAAACATATGAATAATGCTACGCCACCGAAAAACCAAGAAAGAATAGTTTATTAGTGGCTCATATACATGGGGCTAGGTACATGTCAATAGACACGGACCCGTTACGGATTAGGGTTAGTGGACGGACCCGTTGCGGATTAGGGTTAGTGGATTTGAAGATAAATAATCTAATTTAATTCTATTTGAAGTTAGTTGATTGTTTGTGACTCAAATTAGGGGGGAATTTTTTTGGAAATAAATTGTTTTCTTTTTTTCATGTGGGAAAATTTGTTTTCTTATATTTCACATGATTTTTATGAAAATATATTATTTCCTTATTCCACATTATTTCTATCGTTATGCTATGTCATGTATCTATAAATAGTTGTCTTCTCTTTCAGTTTTGTTCAAACAAGAATTGCTAAGTTATTGTATTTCCCTCCATATTGTCGATTAATAAAACGTCGTGCTTCCGTGATTAACTCTCTTTGTTAATTTATTTACTTTTAAATCTTATTTTTCGTTGCGATCTTCATTACTTCATATCACGTCACTAATCTCATTCGCTACAATCCTTTCATGTCCAACAATTTGCACTGTACAGTGAATGTAAGCACTTTATTGAAACTCTTAAACTTCTGTGTATCGATCATATTGTTTTCTTTTATTCAATTATAATATTCACGTGTACACGATAACAATCCATCTAGAGTTGTAGACGATACCGTAATACATTATTCAAGGGACATGTCGTCAACGAATTTGATTATGAACTCTAGTAACGACGACTAATGAATAACATTATTCTAAACAAAATTTTGTGGGACTATAGTTAACAAATCATGGTATGGGGGCCTCTGCCCCAGACGATGCTAGGGGCATTTTTCCTCTTGTTACAAGTTCAATTCTGAGGTGAACCCTGGTGGGTAATTCAATGGTTCAGCTCTGGTTCAAATGGTATCTGGGGTGACCTTTGCCAATGAAAATAATGACACGTACAACTGGACTAATTGATCCGCCGACGTCGGGGCTAGCATCTATTAAGAAAGGGATAGTCGGCAATTAAGTAATGGGAAAAGGGGGCATGCATTGATTAAGAATTTATCAACATCGGAAAGCGACCTCCCAGAAGTTGGGAAAGCCAGAACTCTTATAAACTTGCATGGGGGCAGGGGGCCCCATCAACATATCATGGTATGGGGCGGGGGATCAACAGATCATGGTATGGGGCCCCCTGTCGATAATTTCTTTTGTAACTCAATATTCAAGGTATATCTATTTGCTAATTTATTTGAACAAATAAAAAATTAAAGCTTAAATCCATATATATGTAATTTGAAAATAAAAGTGAAAAATTAGAGGTTTCGAGATGGAAAAGAAAGGAACTCTAGATTTTTAAGAAAACATGAGCTAAATTAATATTTGTCCATTGCTATATATTCTTTAAAATAAATTGAAGCACTCTTATTTAAGCCCTTGTTTGAGCCATATTATTTTAGTAAGAATATATTTTGGAATAGTGTATTGATAAAAAATGTGTGGTTAAAAAATAAAAAAAAATTTAAATTTGCGTGTAATATTATTTTATTGAAGAATATGTGATTGAAATTATGTTAAATCATTGTTAAAGATTGTAACTTTTTTCAAAGAATGTGATTCAAACAAGGCCTAATTCCTAGAGTTTTGAGTCAAACTATTTGATTTGACCTAGATTTAGAACTTATAGCTCCTGTTTGACCCCATTACCTGAAAATGAAAATTGGGGGAATAATATTTTTTAGAAAAATGAATGGTTGAAAAGGAAGGAAAAATTTTCGATTTACATGTAATATTATTTTATGAAATATTGTGTGGTTGAAAATAGGAGAGAGAAAAATGGAATGTAATGTAATTGAATTTAATGAGGATCAAACGGGGGCATAATAAAACCTTATGATTTAATTGATAAAGAATTTTTTGTTGGTGCGAGGAGCATTTATCTTGGACTGAATTAGTAATTTTATTGTTTACATAGTTTGTTTAATTTCTTGTGCAACGCAAACTCAATATAGAATTGGCAAACTTGTTGGTCCAGATACAGTGCATTTTAAGTTCTTATTCTATGTTTATCTGAAAGTGGAGAGAGGTTGAGGGCTTCCTCACAATGTTCAGAAAACCATTAAATTTTATTATTGAATTTTCAATTAACTAAAATATAAAATACCTTACAAGTTTCAAACATGATAAATCCCCAAATACATTCACGTGTTTATTCAAACCTTGACCGAGCTAACGTGGCCAACTGCTCGAAGCGCCAAATTGCTAACTATCTAAATTGTATTTGATATGGCTAGCTCATATTTTGAATTGAAACATTGCATCACAATTTCATGTCTATACTAGGAAGCTAGAATTTCTAAGTCCAAAGTTCACTAGAGATTATCCAACTCACTAGTTTAATGTTACTCTAGCAACTTTGACTTCTGTCGGTTCGATTATTTTAATTTGACCATTTATAATCATGATCAAATTAATCGTTAATTTGATGTGGCTAGCTAATTGCGTTACTAACCCAAGCTTGATTCTAAACCAGCATTCAATAATTAGTTAGCTCAACATATTGGAAAGGAACTGCACAAAGTAAAATGTGGGTTGGTATTGCATTCATCTACGTTTTTGTATTCAATTATGCCTGTTGTACACTGCTGGATGACACAGTAGTTTTGACAGCCTCCATATGTGTAGAAATCCTGATCATTGATTAAAAAATTTATAGTTAAACGTAATGTATAAAAATTTGTCGAACTCACGTGATGTCAAAGAAGCATTCAAACTTAATGTATATATGATATGATTGTTTTGTATTTGGCATGAACCTTAGAAACAATGTTAAACAAGTGTCAAGTGACCCGTTCTATCTATCGATGGGATTTGTTATTAATTTTGATCATAATTATAGATATAATGGTCAAGTCAAGATAGAAAATGTAAGGTGCGTGGTCAAAATAGAATAAAGTTAGGTTCCATGAAACAAATCTGAAAGTTGCGTGATCTTAATAGTAATTTTCAATTCAATATACCTATAATACGTTTACTACATTATATAAAATATAAAGAATATAATTATAGTCCTCGAAATTTTCAACTAATGTATGTGAAAACTCATTTTTTTCAATCAAGTGATTTCTTGGAATTTGTCTTCTTTTAGAACTAGTCCTCCTAAGCCCGTCCGAAGCAAGAACTATTCCAAAGGGGAATGGTTTAATAGAATTGTTGCAAATATATTGGTTACACCTCTCGAAAAGTAAAAAGTGCTTAATTTATTATAAGCTCGTGTGTCGAACTCCTTTTAGCTTTAGATATTTGGACACAATTTTCACTTATATACCATGAATTTTATTTTTAATACGAGTCATATTTTGACACATTAAAATTGTTTAAATTTCAAGCAATTGTGATTATAGATTGTAAAATTAAACTGTAATCTCCTAGACCTTGCTTGGTGGGGGATTAAAATCAAATTTATAGTAAATTTTGATAAAAGTTGATGAACTTTGTGATTGAAAAGTTGTAGATTTTATATAATATTTGACTTTTAACTTAGATTAAAATTTATATTTAATCCCTACTAAATGGAGTATAATAAGTTTTTTATAAAAAATAATGAATTGATAACACAAATAAAAAATTAGATTGGCGTCACATATAAACCATTGGGCTAAAGAGACCCAATTATCATGGTAACCTTAGTTGCGCCATGTAGAATGGACCCACGAAGCCCATCGTCATGTCTTCCCAAATTTACAAATAGAAACTTCGAGAACCTGAAATAAATTCTCACGAGAAAGCAGACTTCATTAAAGAGTCGTCACATTCAGTTTGAAAATCGTGATTTTTATCAGTTATTTTGAATAACACTTTTTGGTTCTCTTTTGTAATCAACTCTAATTTAAGCATCGAAATAAGAAGACTTTTCCTTTCCTTTGCTGGTAAGATCTAGAATTGAAGGCAATTATCGAGAAGAGGCGCGTATCTGGGAGCAAAGCAAAATTTGGAAATAACACAAAGAATTGATACAATGCATGTGTTGGGTTGATTATAACCTGATTAAATTATATTTAGGGAAAATTGCATTAGTGGTCCCAAACCTTTTCAATTTCTGCAAACTTTGTCATAACCTTCATTTTGCGTCAGCAAATGTCTTTAACCGTACATAAATATGCAGCTGGAGTTCAGATGGATGGAATCCATCTATTTGATTGTTAGTTGACCAAAGAACCGATTTTGACTCCAATTTTGACCATATTAGTAAGGGCAAAATGGTAACTTTGCATATTATCCCTAAAAATAAGTTAAAATTAAATTAAGAAATTAAAAAAGGAAAAGGAAAATAAAAATGAAAATCTTTATCTCCCGCCCCTCACCGACTGTACCTTGCCCCAAAACCACAAACAAGAATGACAACCGCCGACCACCTAAACTGAATTGAAGTTCACCGAAAAATATAAAAAATCATGGTAACTAAACAACCACAACCACCCTCTCGAACCCTAATCAGCCACCTAATAAACCTAGACACAGGAATCTCCCTCCATCTCTACACCTTATTTTTCCCCAAATTCCTCAAGTTCTTGGCCCTCAAATTCCTATCTTATCCTATCTTACCCTTCTCGGTCATTAAATTCCTCAAGTTCTCCAACAATGGCTCTCTCTTTTTCCCCATCATTCTCTCACTTTTATTCATTGGCCTTCTCAAACATCTCATCCAACACCCTCGCCCAATTTATTGCGAGAACATGTTCTTCTCTTTCGCTGTTGACCACTGGTCTTTCCCCAGTGGGCACTCCTCTAGGGTTTCCTTCATTATCACCCTCATTAACTTCTATTTAGTTTCACCGGAACAAATTTTGGTGGCTCGATTGAAGTTTGATGTGGATAGTATTCTTGTTGAGTATTTTGTTGTGATTGTAGGGTATGGGCTGCAATTACCTCAGCTTCGTAAGTACTTCTGGGCCATCATTTCATGTTTGATGTTGTTGGAGCGTGTTTGGGTTCTAGTGGTGTGGATGGGAGTTGGGGAAAAAGCAAGTGTCGGTCATCGGCTTTTTTATTTTAATAAGGGGTGGGTGGGTGGTTTGTTGTAGGGGTTTGGGTAAATTTCTTTCTTTTTTTGGTTTTTTATTTAATTTTTTACGTAAAAAAAAAAAAGTAAAGTTACCATTTTGCTCTTTTAGAATTAGTCAAAATTGGAGTCAAGGTCAATTATTTGATCAACTAATAGTCAAATGAATGGATTCCATCCATCTTGACTTCAACTACATATTTACGAAATGACACAGAATGAAGGTTAGAATAAAGTCTGCAAAAATTGAAAAGTTTTGGGACCGCTACTACAATTTTCCCTTATTTTTATCCACACATTTTGTATGACTCACAACTTTTATCTATTTTTTAATTTGACTTTTTTGGGATTCATTTCTTATAAACTCTTAAAATTTTAGCTAACAATTATATAAAAGTATAATCAACTCGCAATCATACATAGTGATTTGTCTAGTTCCCAGTATTATTTGTGATGGTTAATCATGTTTGACATAGTCCCATAGTTCTTTTCAGTTTCAAATGATCGAATTAATTGATCACAAATGATTTCTTGAATTAAAAATTTTGCACGTTACAATTTATTCATCACAAAATTAAAATTTTTGTCGATCATAATTTATTTATCGATTGCAAATCACAAAATTCATAAGTCACAACTTATATAACGGTCACAACTTGTCGGATTAATTGGTCACAAGTTATTTTTTATTACAATTAAATAAATTGTATGTCACAATAACAATTTTTAAGTTACACATTATTTATTGATCACAAATTAATCAATTTATTGTCATAATCAACAAGATAATTGGTCAAAAAACACCTCACCCCATCCCATTCCCCACCCCTGACTGTCGAATCATGGAAAATACCGCCAACACCATGATCACCACCACCATGATCACCACGACCACAACACTAACTGCAACCACAACATACCATAGAAATGCAAAAACCACACCACCAATCACACCAAACCGCAATCACATCAAACGCAAAATCACCACCATAACACCACACTATGTGAAGCCATCGCCATCTGAACTCATCGTCTTTGATGCCAGATCTAATTAGCGTCGTGTTACGAACATGACGTTGTCACTCACAGATAGGGCTGTCAATGGATTGGATTTTGATTCGAATCCGATAAAATTAATGAGAGATGGATTTAGGGTCTCAATCCGCTAGTCCGATAGAGATCCGAATCTGATAATCTGTTAACTAAATGAATCAAATACGAATATAGGTCTATCCGATCCGATTTATTATAATAATATATTGTATTTTTTTATATTATCACATAATATATGACACAGTTTTTACCATTTTGAAAATTGTATTATACTTTACACATAATTTTAAATAATAAATAATATTGTATAATAGTACAATATTTTTAATTGAAAATTTTGAATAGATTTAATTTTTTTATTAATTAAAAAAAGATAAAAATAATAATTAATTTATTAATTAGATTTACTATAGTAATTTCTTTCATAACATAAAAAACTAACAATTAATATATCCAAAATAATTTACTTTGTTCAAATCGACATTGTTCATAATTAAAATCTTATTGAGACTATGATTTTTAATGAAAATAATAAAGTAAACTAGTAAACATTTAGAATTGATAAATGATTATGATTAGTATCTCATATTGAAAGGTCACTAAATCATTGGAAGAGGTGAATCCTTTTTAAAGCTAATATCCGACATTGGAATATCATTAAAATATTCTAAAAAGAGTTTCTTTTAAAAATGAGCATCACTTGGATAAAAAAATTGATTTGAGCCTTTAAATATAATAAGTGAGCACATTAAGATAGTTCAAATATTTTTTAAAATAAATAATTAATTAAAATCTTATTGAGGCTATGATTTTTAAAGGAAAAAATAAATAAAATTTTTATTTTTCTAATTTTTATTTTTTTTCAATTTCGGATCGGGTCATTCAAATATTCGTCGGATTACGGATCAAATCGGATAATTATTCTTAACGGGTCGAATCGAATTTGAGCAGATCTGATCCATATCCGATCCATTGACAGCCCTACTCTTAGAGCTTCGAATACGGGAATGACGTTGCCAATCTCAAATCGTGTTGCGGTTGGTACCTCTCAAATTGTACTGCTCTTAAATCTAAAATTAACGTCACCCTCAGATCAGCGAGTGACGCATTGCTGTAGGCATGGTGACAATGCAATGGCTATAGGCAATGGAGTATGGCAACGTCGCAACGATGCAAATTTTCGACGTGTGGGGTAAAAAGAGATGGGAGAAGAACAGAGAACTGAGGGAACACCATTAGAGAGAGAGTGAGTGAGTAAAGTGAAATAATTAGTACTTGGGAGGATAGATGATGGTGAGATGAATATATACAATAATTTAATTTTTGTGATATTATTATTATTATTATTATTTAAAATAGTATATCATCATTTTATTTTTGTATAAAAAGAACTTTAAATTTGATTTTTGAAGCTAAATCTTAAAAATTCTAGCTGGGTGTAATTTCTACTTTTCTTATTCATCATTTAGTAGGGCTTGATTTCTTTAATGGATTCAGCCCAATTTGTTCAATTCAGGAGAAGGTGGGGGAATTTCTATTGGATTGGACAAAGGCTTGGGCAAAAATTCTGGTGATCCAAATAGCAACATAAAAATCTGGGGGCAGATCTGCAAAAGCATTCAGGGACCACTCTACAGTTCCTAGAACATTAAGGGCTCGAATTTCATAATTAAAAAGGTTCAGGGACCAATGTGCAGACTCCTTAAAACAGTAGTAAAAGCAAACTCAATTAAGATTTTAAAAGTATAAGCAAACTCAAATCAGATTTTCTAAGTATAAAGCTTAAAAACTTGGGAAAAATTCTGGTGATCCAAATAGCAACATAAAAATCTGGGGGCAGATCTGCAAAAGCATTCAGGGACCACTCTACAGTTCCTAGAACATTAAGGGCTCGAATTTCATAATTAAAAAGGTTCAGGGACCAATGTGCAGACTCCTTAAAACAGTAGTAAAAGCAAACTCAATTAAGATTTTAAAAGTATAAGCAAACTCAAATCAGATTTTCTAAGTATAAAGCTTAAAAACTTGAAGAATTGGCATTCTGAGTCAAATCACTGAAAACCAATCTTTTAATGAAGAGAAACTGGTGCAATAGCGCTCAGAGACTCGGTAATTTGGGCAGTTTCAGCAATTCTAAGGGCCATCATGGCTTTGTAAGTCGCCAGGTCAGCATTTTCAATGAGTGTCTGGGCTCGTTTGCGTTTTAGAATAGCAAACCCTTCAAATCTGTTTGCTGCAGCTTTAGCCTCCTGCACTTTGAAGAAGTTCTTCTGTTGCTCCAAAGCATCCAGTTTAGCTGCTGCTGTTGTAAGAATCAACGTTCATGATTACATATCATATCATGGGAAACAAAAGCTAAATAAAGAAACATGTTTCATTAACTAAAGATTTTACTCGAGATAGTTTAACACGTTATCATGACATATAGGGAGATCTGGATTCAAGTCTTGATAACCCATCTATGAAATTTTTATACATGTTAGTAGTTAGGCCTTTGATGAAATATGGATCCGACTTCCTTGTGAAATGGCATGTTGAAAGCAAAATTTATTAAAAAATATTTCTTCTTCTCAATAACTTGAGCATTTCTAGGCACGGTGTTAAACAAATAGATTCATTAATGTCACTCCGCGAATCCTGTTCATCCAGCTTCCCATTAAAGATTCAATACCAATGGGTTATTACATGAAAGGTTGACAGATTTCCAGAATTGCATTTATACAAGATAAATTGATCAAATTTTACAAGGCTGGACAACAGATTTATTGAACATTGGTCATCAGCAATAACTCTTCCAACATATCAAGTCACTTAAATCATCCATGCATTAACCTACGATAAAAGTCACATGTAATAAACACCATGAACTCAGTAACAT